ACAACCTTAAGGTCGTCAGAGGCTACAGTGTGAGACAATCGGGGCCCCGTGTATTAGTGCAATTTGAGGGCCGTTGGGACCCTAAGTGGCTGGCATTTGCCCTCCGGGACTCCATTTTTTTTTTTTTTGTTGGGTTAGGCCCTTTCGGTCTGACGAGACCATTTCAGAGCCGGAAGGATGATAAGAATTACGGGCAGACATTGGTATGGGCAGGCACCCCAGTGAGTCACCTGGGCTGAACCTGTCCAGTCGGACAGGCCGTCCAGCCCACTGGCACTCACTGCACCCGGCTGCGGGCTAGCTCCAGTGGAGCCATTCCCGCATGGGTTAGAGTGGCCCGTCCAGACCGGAGCAGGGGGTTGAGTTGCGGCATGAAGGAGAAGGATTTGACTGCCCTGAGGATGGAAAACACGGAACGGTGCCGGGACTCCACGCCAACTTCTTTAGATAACCCAGAGCTGTCAGTTCCCGTCCCCACAGACAGACCACCAATCTACGCCTACGCACGACCTCCGAGAACGGGAGCCTGCTTCATTACGATTAGGAGCTATACTCTAGCCGCACACTTGTGACCGTCCAGCCAGAAGTTGGACGCCGCAAAGTGAGGACGACGATAGGCAAAAACAACAGATTGACGCCCCGAGGACAGAAACAACAGTTTGAAACAACTGTGCACTATGTGCAGCGGCTTGGCGCGCCGGCCGTCGCTGTGGCGTCGCCCACGTCACCCGTTTTGCAGCGGCCCAAAGCGGCGCACTGGCGACCCCGAGCTCGGCCCGGCCGTGTGGCGGGCCCGGCGCTTCACCAGCGCCTCTGGCGGCCAAGACACTAGCGCCCCTGGCGGCTGCAGCAGTGGCGCTCAGGGGGGGGGGGGGCAGCCATTTGTGCCACAGGTCTATGCCACTTCTATGCCGGGCCCACAGCAGCTTTTGTAGGTACTATAGTAAGTTGTAGGCTGTAGGTTACAAGTAAGTAGGTTGTAGGTTTTAGGTAAGGTTAGGTCAGGTTAGAGTATGTTTTGTTCTATATTTAACTGTGAAAAGACAATTGCGACGCACGTAAGACATAGACTTCGTGGCACATATGATAGACCCCCGGCGCTCATCCTTTCTTGTTCACCCCGCGTCGGACAGCGCAAGCCACTCGATGCCGGCGTCCGCCGCCGTAGGCTCCTTAACCTTGAGCTAAATAACAACCTTCAAGTGAAATTAAAAATTTAATTGCTAAAAAAGACCGCTATATAAAGAGCTTTCCATGTTTTGTCTCGTTCTTCTACTATCAATATTCAATCCGTTTGGAGGTAGAGGGAGCAGAACTTGCTCCCCTCCATAGGGGGTTGTGCTTGGCTGAATACCTCAACGGGCCTTGGATTAAGATGAGATGAGAATTTGAATTATTACATCGTAACCATCGGCATAACACCTGCACCACACAAAACATTCATAATCGTATAGATTATAATACCGGGTGAATACCTGGAACACAGTAGGTGCGAGTGTCACCTGATGGGTACCAACTACCAACCAAGATTATGACACTTTGTGACCGTGGCCGTGACCGTGACACCCGTCGCCCCAGAGCAGCGTGTAGTCCGTCCGCTCCCCGTGGCGCGCAGCACTGCGGTAGACCGAGCGCCAGAGGCGGATCCAGCTCAGAGTTTTTTTTTTTGGGGGGGGGGGGGGCAAACTATAAAATTTATCGATTCTTTCCATGCATCGTCCATAGGCGTAATGTTAAAATTATGCCGTTTGGGGGGGGGGGCAAATGCCCATTTTGCCCCCCCCCCCTGGATCCGCCACTGAGCCCTGCCGAGCGGCCTTGTTTTGTGCGTACCTACTTGATGATGACGGCTGTGATTTGTTGTAGGCTCATTGTTTTACTTTACCGTCTTCGTTTTTATACGACTGAAAGTATTAAAGTATGTTGCGACTTGCGAGTGTTGATTTTACTCGCTTTGCACTTGGCTGGTCAGTGGTCAGTGACGTGTAACCGACTTCTGGCTGGTGTCGGACTTTGCACTGGTGGCGGGGACGCGGGGGCGGTCCGTATCGCCGCGTCGCCCCATCTCTGGCCGGAACACGCTGGCGGCTCATGACTTTACACCGCGGCGCCGCGTCGGCTCTCGCCCAGCCGTCCACCCGACGATCGATCCCCTGTACAAGGTGACTCGACTCAATGAATGAGCCGTGAGGGGCGGGCCGACCAGTTCCCATACTGAGAGCTCTGATGTAAACTTTACCGTTCGGCTGTGGACGCTGGCCAGATTCATGACGCGCGGTAACTCGACACTCGTGAATACGGCGGAGAGAGATAGTGACGCAGCCCGCAGGTCAGGATATCGACGCATGAAAGATCGGTCGCTCCGCTCGTATTTATTTGTACTTAGGGGAGAGTGGGGAAAGATGCCCAGGGTTTTACTATGTCATATATTATTCGAAAATGACGATCGGAAAGCAAAAACTTGTAGTTTCAACGGAAGCCGACATCATTTTTCTCCAAAAATATCACACTTTCGTGCTTGAAATATGATAACTTTTTTGCTATTAAGCATTTTCCTGAAGAAGTGAAAGGGGGCATCTTACCCCACAGGGTGGGAAAGACGCCCCCTGGCGTTGGGTAAGATGCCCCCTGCACTATAAGTGACATAAATGGGTACGTGAATCGCCTGAACGAATCAGTAGTCCCTTCGGGCCTGCAGTAGACACCAAACGTCATCGTAAGGGCCCTCAAAAGTAGTCGTAAGGGGCTTCAGAGGTCATCGTTAGGGCCATCATAGTCCAGCGCGGCCAAACAAGCCTCCGTGGTGGCGTTCGGAGACCACTGTGGGGCCCTTATAGGTCTTCATGATGCTTGAGGGCCCTCGAGCCCATCGTGGGGACCTCAGATGCCAGCGCGGCCCGTGGAGCCAACGTGGGAGCCCTCAAAGGATGTCGTGAGGGGCCCTGGAGCCAATAATGTGGCCCACAGAGGCCGTCGTAAGGGCTCTCAGAGTCAGATGCCGCCCAAAAAGTCGCTGTGTGGGCCGAGAGACCGGCATGGGGAGCACCTGACCGTACTGGACTCTCAATAGTCCCAGATCGGCTTTTGTCTCTCATCACAGGTATGTAATAAATGATTTGACGGGCTGCATGAAGGACAGCCTACGGATTTAGGGGGGCGTCTTTCCCCATCAGGACAGGAGGCATCTTACCCCAAGGTACCGAGGTAACATTAAATCAGTACAATTTGTTAGCCATAAAACTACACCCTGAAACAAACTGTTTGGGACACAGTACACGCATGTTAATTTATCACGACTATAGCAAGGGACGCAAAAATTATCTACCTTCTTTGATATTTACAATGTTTTGACACCAAAATATTTTTTGAAAGCAGCAAATAAAAAACATGCAATCACCAGCCAGCCGTTGCCCAACTGAGCCTCGCAAATTTTTGTGCAGTTAACAAGGCAGGCTTCCGATTTACGCTAAGAACATTAATTTCCAGGTTCGATTCTTTGTTTCGCCGCTAGAGGGGGTGGGGCGTCTTTCCCACCCTGGGCATCTTACCCCACTCTCCCCTACTGTATGTTTGTATGTATGAACCCAATAAGTATTTATCGTCGCACCCATGTGTCAAACATTGCATTCCTTTGTACCTGTATGACTAATCTGAAGAATATCATTGCAGCTCGGTCGCCCCCCCCCCCCCGGCCGGTCGTGCTCGCGCCGCTCCTGCCTCCTCCCCCCCCCCCCCTCACCCACTTCCGGAAAGCGCTGATTCGGCCGCAGACTGGGCGGTTGGTTTCTCGGAAAGGAAAGTGTGCCGCGCCGTCCGAGCTGAGAGGTGGTCGGGGGGGGGGGGGGGACAGAGTGCGTCGTCCGAGGTGGACGGGGGCGGGTGGTCGGAGAGGGGCATTGCGCGCCGTTCGAGCCGGGCGGGGTGGTCGGGAGGGACAGAGTGCGCCGCTCGAGGTGGGTGCAGGGGTGGGGAAGGGGGTCGGAGAGGGACAGGGCGCGCCTACGGAACTGATCTGAGGGGTGTTCGCGGGCACCGCACACTGCTGCGTGCGGTGTGTGCGGTGCGTCCAGCAGGCGTGGGGGTAGGGGATTGGTAGGCGGTTTTGACGTCACGGCTGCGTGCGGTGGACGGTCCGCTGTGGCCAGTCACGACCGGCCACAGCGATCGCTGTGTGCGGTGACGGAAGGCTGACGTAGGGACGAAGTGGGCGGAGCTTCGAGGCTGTGTGCGGTCCGACCGCACACAGGGCCCGTGAACAGCCCTCTGGGAGGGGGGTGGGGCTCGTTCGCCGTGGTCGTTCGCTGTTTCAAGAGGAGATCTGCCGGCCAGCTGAGCTCTTCCCATGTCTCCTTGTCATTCTGCGCGCCAGTGTGTGATGCTAGCGACTGGACGGAGAACTGATAAGGGCGTGTGGGAAGGCTGATCGACGCCGCGTGCTGCTGACCTGCCTGAGTGCCTGCATCGCCCGCCAGACAGACGCCTGCGCGCCGGACGCCCCCCCCCCCCCCACTTCCAGACGGGCCGGTCGGCCGGCACGCCGACTGACCGCCCCCCCCCCCCTCCCCTCCCTTCCTCCCTGGCCGCCGCTACGTGACGTCACGCGGCTGCCAACCGACCGCTCCACGCCCGCCGCATCATTGAATGGAATATCTAGGAATTTTGGAGTTCTCAACCGTTTAGACTTCAGGGTATGTCTATTACAATAATGGTACGTCGTTAACATTACTGACATTTTCAGGTATGTTCTTTGTTAATAATGCTGATATAATAATGAAATAATGAGTACCTATTATCGATGTCGGAATGCATTAATGTTTGTGATGGCGTAACTCATGGCCCGGATGATCTGGAAAAAATGCAGACACTTTCATTAACACAGAAACTGTATTAATGACAGTACGTAGAACATCGTACTTCTTTGTCACATGATGCAGATGAACGATAAATATGTAAATAAGGAATGGTGACGCCGTTGGTCAGGTGACGAAGTCTCTACGGACCGTCCGCCGCCGCTCCGGCGTCTCCCACGTTGTCGGCGGCCTGCTCCCGGTCCAGCGGATCGCGCTCACGTCTGATCGAGATGAGCTCTACTCCTTCCGCCGACGCCTTCTTCCGAATCAGGATACAGACCGGCATTCCGGCCATCACCGCACTGATTACCGCCATGCCGACCAGCATCGGCAGGAGCGCTGGAAAGACGAACTGAGACAGCGCGGCCGCCGACACGACCAGCGCGATGAAAAATAGAACGTCTGCCGCCGCCCAGCTGACCAGCAGCAGCGGCCACCAGCGGCGCTTCCACAGGCCGACCAGCGCGGGGAGCGCGGCGGCCGTCAGCAGGCCGCCCGTCACCGCCAGCGCCGTGTAGGAGCCCCGCAATGGGCCCTCAAGCTGCTCGATGGAGTGGTTCAGCACAAGCGTGGAGTTGCATACTGAATCGCTGACGTCCAGAATATCTTCCTGTCCATTTCTTTTCTTCGCCCAGGTGTTTTGGAGACAATATTGTACTTCGCCCAATTTAGGGTCTAGCAGTTGATCAGTCATCATACAGGTGAATGCGAAGCTGCCGATCATGGCTAAAAGCACGAGGGAGAAAGCCGCGAGCCGTTTCTTACCTTCCCGGTAATAAATGTCTTGACACAAACCTGCAATCATCTCAAGCTTGATCGATCGATCGCAGGCTGTCCTCACCCGACCGTGTCTCGTAAACGACTGGCGCGTCGCGACGCTAGGGGTCTCTACACAGGTCGGCCGCCGCGCGGCGACGGCGGCGCCGTCGGCTGACCTTGGAGGCAGCGACCGCACAGGGGACACGTCGCAACATGACTGGCCAGTGGCGGCACTGGGCCTGGCGTGGGGGGTGAGGTGCGGACCGCGCACTGCGCAGTGCGCACGGCTGATCGGGAAGGTAGGTAGTTGGAAAAACGAAAACGAAACACGCGTTGCGGACGACCACTCCGCAGCAGTGGCGGCGTAAGCTAATTTGGGAATAACGAATAAGATATTAAAGTGACGGGTTCTGCCCACCATTTCTAACGGAAGAAACTTTAATTAAGTGAAAAATCTCATTTAAACCGCGCCCCGTTTAGGTCTGGCAGGTTCCACGTCCTGTTGGGGGGAGGGGGAGAGGCACGGCCGACTTTTGGTCCTATTCTTTCCATGCAACGCCAATAGGCATAGGCGGCCAACCCCTTGATTTATTAGCCCTATGGGCGTTGCATAGAAAGGATGACCAAAATCGGCAGTGCCCCCTTAATTGAAGGTGTTCCGCCGCTACTGCCAAAAGGGTTAATGTTAAAATGACAAAATCAAGGGGGGCACGGTGCCCCGGTGCCCTCCCCGTTCCGCCGCCTATGGCGTCCGCCTCGCGCCGCCCCGCCAGCCACTCTCTCTCTCTCTCTCTCTCTCTCTCTCTCTCTCTC